TGTACAGTTTCTGCAGTTGTAGGTTCAAGGAAGTGAGATTGGAGTGAGAATTATCAGAGGAGTCACTATAATCCAATTGAAAGACATCAGCAGACTCTGGAGGTGAGGCACAGCAATGAGAAGTGTTGTCTGGGACCTTCACTGGAACACAGGAAGAGCTTTTAGGGACCTCCTTCTGGACCCTCTCGGAGGGAAAATGAGAGGCGTCCTCCGGGACTTGCTCAAAGGCACTAGCAGCAGAGGAACCGTCGCAGCCGCCACTCATTGAGACGCAGGAAGTAGTGGGTGGCACGGGAGGAGGATCAGTGGAGCAGCCTTGGGTCCAACGATGATACCCCTTTCGACGGTGACGAGAAGAGACATGGAGAGGCAAGACGTGGGGAGCTGCTGATTCCTTGTGTGACTCGGGGGAAGTGTCATTTTTGCTGGGTGTCGGAGCAGGAGGCTGAGGGAGAATTATGTGCAGCTTGCGCCTCTCTTCAAAAATCTCAGACAAAATCTCCGACATCCCCGGAGAATCACATAAACCAGGAAGGCGAAAAAAACTCCCCCAGCATGTCTTCTGTGGCTGTCCATCTTAATTCCAGATCCTTGGAGGAAGCCAAAGTATCCACGTATCTCCATGTTATTTTGCAGAGCTGCTGAAAATCCTCTGGATCAAGACCCATGACAAACGGGCAACCTGCTGGGTTCATAGTGGGTCCGAGGATTCTGTTATGATCTGTGTTTAGGTGAACTAGTGAAGTTACCTCTAACACCGAAGCTTCAAAGCACGCTTCAAACTCGACAGGGTAGTTATGGTGAAGCAGTGGGCTGGAGCTTGCTTCATGTGACATCACCGATGACGTGTGAACCACTTCACTGCTTCATTCAGACTGAGTCAGCTGACTGCTTCGAGTTGACAGGCGGAGTTTCAAACATTTGGAGCGATTCAGTGTATTTAAGATGCTCAAGCCCCGGTTCACATCCCCGTTCTACTCGTATTATACGTTACAAACAGCTCTTGTTTTGTGATATTCCGATAGTGGTTCATTTGAGTCGGATCCTGTCAGAACAAGATCCTGGAACTCTATAATTTTGACGGCTCGGAGCCGCCAACTCCACCCCTAAAAGTCCAAAGTCATTGCGCATTTTTATTTTGATTATTTATTAAAAGTACAACGAGTGGATGTTCTAGCCGTGCCACGCTCCTGCCTGCAGAGACACGGACTGCATGTCCCGCAGGGAGCGTCTTCATCCTCCTCCAGCTCCTCCAGTGGCCCTCACCCCGATAGTCGCTAAATGCTTTGAAAAACTGGTCATGACTCACATCAAAACAACCATCAACATCAACGAGGACCCTCATCAGTATGCATACCGTGAGAACCGATCAACAGAGGATGCAATCTCCTCTGTGGTCCACACTGCGCTCAACCACCTGGAGCAGAAAAACTCTTACGTCCGTATGCTCTTTGTGGACTTCACATCCGCCTTCAACACCATGATCCCCCAAACCCTGATGGACAAACTATCCACACTAGGACTAAGCCCCTCCATTTGCAACTGGGTACTAGACTTTTTAACAAACAGACCACAGTTAGTGAGGATCCACAACCTCTCCTCCTCCACCATAACCCTCAGCACTGGCTCTCCTCAGGGATATGTGTTGAGCCCCCTTCTGTTTACTCTGCTCACATATGATTGTGCAGCTACCCATCCAGGCTGTCACATTGTAAAGTTTGCAGATGATACAGCGGTGGTGGGATGCATCACAAACAATGAGTCCAGCTACAGGCAAGAGGTGGAACACCTGGAGAGCTGGTGCAGAGAGAATAACCTTCACATCAATGTGAAGAAGACAAAGGAGATGATTGTGGACTTCAGAAGGAACAAAAACACCTACACCCCCCTGAACATAAGAGGATCTGCGGTGGAAGTGGTCTCCAGCTACAAGTACTTGGGTGTACACATGAATGACAACCTCAGCTGGAGCAACAACACCACCAGCCTGATCAAGAAAGCTCATCAGAGACTCTACTTCCTCAGACGGCTGAGGCGAGCTGGTCTGGGAAGCTCAGTCCTCACCTCCTTCTACAGGTGTGCAGTGGAGAGCATCCTGTGCTCCAGCATCAACGTGTGGCATGGAGGCTGCACAGCTGCAGAAAGAAAAGCTTTGCAGAGAGTGGTGAAGGCTGCACAGAAATCTGTTGGAGTCAGTCTCCCCACCATCACAGACATCTACACCTCCAGATGCAGGAAGAGGGCCACCTGCATCATGAAGGACCCCACTCACCCAGCACACACACTTTTTGCCCCACTCCCCTCAGGAAGGAGGTTAAGGAGCATTAAGTGTAGAACCACTAGACTGAGGAACAGCTTCTACCCTGAGGCTGTTAGACTCATGAATCTCTAACTAGAATAATCACTGTGAAAAACCATATCATGTTGCTGCTGATCTGTTTCATGTTGCTGCTGATCTGTTTCAATGTTGATGTGTTCATGCGTGCACATCTGCTCACAGACTCATGTTCATGTTTGTGTTGATGTTCAATGTTTTATGTTATGAGTGCTTAGTGTATATTTAGTTGATGTTTTTCTTAGTTCATATCTTAGATGTTATTACTGTTTTTCTTATACATTTTATTGTTGGATGTAACTGGGACCCTGTGTACATAATTTCGCTCCACCACATGTACCACATGAGGTGCGAATGACAATAAAGAAACTCTGACTCTGACTCTGACTCTGACTCTGACTCTGACTCTGTGCACCCTGAGACAGGTGCTTTACACACAGTGTCTCCACACAGCTCTGCAGGACGCGCGCACAACTGCTGTGTTGGAACTCCTGCATACATTACAGTGCACAACATTTCAGATATAATAAATGAGCTTACAGTAAAAAATAAATAAATAAAAAATAATTAAAAAAAAACAAGTGAAATGTTTGATGTTTATTACATCACGTATCAAAACAACGGCACTAATTAGTCAAAATAACAGCAATCAAAATCTTGAAAAGACAATTTATCTAAAATAAATAGATGGCTGGACAACAGAGGCAGAGGTTGGAGCAGAACACACAGGACTGAATTCAGCTGAGAAGAGTTCAGGTTGGCACTCTGCAGTGTGTGTGTGTGTGGGGGGGGGGGGGGGGTAGGATGCCTGACAGACTGTCAAGGACGTGCATTCACACACAGGCTTGTTAAATGTTGTTGCTCTCTAAAATAGTAATTACAATTCAACCTTTATTTACACAGGTTGTTAGTCTCTTTGAGCCTCGTCATTTACAAGAGAGACCTGTTTTTAATCAGTTTATTCAAATGTTTAACAACCTGTTAAAATACAACAAAATGCAGGAAATGGCATCTCTTTTATTCCAAATTTTCTGGGGGAGGACACACGGGAAAAAAAAAAAGCTTCATTTTGACATCACTAAGTTGAACCCAGTGACGCAGGTAAGACCCAACGCAGGCAGGACTCCGACTCGATAGATAATATATAAATAAAACTATTTATTGAAAATAAAAGTAAAATCTGATGTGGTAGCAAAAAACTTACAGCAGAGGAACTCAGGATGAACAGTGACATATCACACACCGTGGAAGGATAATCCTCTTACAGGGAAACAAAGACAAGATGTAGGATATATAGGCACGCTAATGAGGGGTAAACAAGAAACAGCTGGGCGAAGTGACAGGAGGACGACGTTAGTTAATTGTGGAGGAAAATGTGAGAGAGGCAGGAGATAGGGAGAAACAGACAGACCACACGAGGGCAGCACACACCAAGGAAACAATCCTCACACGTTCATTTATTTCCATCCATCCATTTTCTTTACCCGTTTATTCCATTTTGGGTCACGGGGGTCGCCGGTGCCCATGTCCAGCAATCACTGTGCGGGGGGCGGGGGACACCCTGGACGGGTCTCCAGTCCATCACAGGGACACATAGAGACAAACGAGACAAACAACCATTCACTCTCTCACTCACACCTAGGGACAATTTAGAGTTACCAATCAGTCTAACATGCATGTTTTTGGTCTGTGGGAGGAAACCGGAGCACCCGGAGAAAACCCACGCATGCACGGAGAGAACATGCAAACTCTACACAGAAAGGCCCCTGGACTGGGATTTGAACCAGGGACCTGCTCGCTGAGAGGCAGCAGCTCTACCAGTTGCGCCACCGTGCTGCCCGTTCATTTATTTCATGGTACATTTATTCATGTAGTTGGACACTTACATTTATTTATTCCACCCTCCATGGATGGAATGTAACAAAATTAAATAAATAAATGCATCATGAAATAAAGAAATGTAAATGTCATTAAATAATTAAATGTATCATTTAATAATTTAATACATAATGAAATAATTGAAAATACAATGAAATTTTTACTGTATCTTTACAGTCCAAGGTGTCCCCCGCCCCTCGCACAGTGATTGCTGGACATGGGCACCGGCGACCCCCGTGCCCCAAAATGGAACAAGCGATAAAGATAATGGATGGATGTATCTTTACATAAAATATTATTGAAATTAACATTTCATTATTTAGTGTTATTATTTAAAAGTTAATTTGATTTATTTAATGGGACTTTTAATTAATTAATTGTTTATTTAATAATTTAATATTCTATTTTGTTTTATGATATATGGAATAATTAAATGAAACATTTAATTATTATGTGTTTATATAATTTTGTCACATTCCACCCTCCATACTCATCCTGAATCCTGTAAAATTATAGTAGGTGTGCTATGCTCTCCCTTTACATGCTGAGTGCAATCTGTAGTTTTCCCTCACTTTGAGTTATTGCTCTTCCAATTCAAGTAAATGTGAAACCAAACGTTTCTCAGGTAAAGCTGGATGGCCTCTGCAGCACACCTGCATTTGCTGAGGAAGCAATCTGATTGGCAGTTCTGGATTCAATGCCCGACATGATTTGCATAGAAGGAGTCACAACACTTCCAAGCTTTGTGTGAACCAGGAAGGGGAATGTTTCCTGCTTACCTCAGAACAGGTTTGTGCTGCGGATGAGGTAAGGAGAGTGAACTAAAGGTGAGTATGATCACGTTTGGCTGTATTCTCTAAATATGTATAATGCAGGAAAAACAGAAAATATTTAAAGATTTAGTTTTCCATCTCAGAGGACATACCTGACATAGCTTTAGAGCAGCATTTCTGACCTTTGTACTACTTTGTAAGCGATTGTGTTACGTTCCAACCAGGCTGAAGTGGCAGATCTCTTGTTTTCACACTTTAGTGACAAACATTAACAATTCCTCAAAGGTTTGTTGTTTCAACCTTAACAGTTTCTACTCCTTCCTGTCAACTGAGCAGTTTTGATAACAGTTCTAGTTCATCAGTCTTGACTCTGAGCCTGCAGTTCTTGTTGTGGTAGATGTTCTAACATTAGATATTATGTTTGTTTGTCTCTAAGGTGTTCTAGAAGTTTGCTCAAATATTGTTTTTGCTTCACTGCAGTGTGGGCCGCACACACGTCCCTATAAAGGAAATGGAATCTCTCAGAGGTAGGATGCTGTTCCCTGGTGTTCTCTCAGATCTGATCAGTTAACACTGAGGTGGAAACTTATTTTTGTTGTATTGTGCTCTCAGAACCGTGCTCTCATTGGAGTGTTCCTGTTGAGATGGATGAGAGGATGACAGCGCCCAGTGCTGATGTGGCCTGGCCCTCCTTTTGTAAACTCTGTAGTGGACATGAAGGGGCCAGCAGGACGGCAAAGAGCCATGGCTGTGAGCCTCCTCAGAGGGGGCTGTGGGATTCAGGTTTCAGTAGGGTCGACTGGTACCAACATGAAGCAGGAGCAGCTCGCCAGGCTTTTCTGGGCCCTCACGTTGGGCCTTCAGCAGCAGCAGACCCCGGACGGGCAAGGTCACCCCTCTTTGTAAATGTTTGGCCTCATTCTACCAGAGAGCAGCAGCCGCTGAACAGACGGGAGCTTCTGAATGATCCCAGAAGAGGACCGGGAAGCCCTTCAAACTGGGCCTGGCATCACTCCATGGAAGAGGCAGAATCCTTGGAGTCCCCCTTGCCACTGGTGTCCAACATCAACTGTGAGCAATACACTTCACCACGGTACCGCATGCCACACATGCCAGGTGAGTGCAGCAGCTGGGTGTTCCCCATGATGAGGTCAGAGGTCATTCACATAAGTGGTGAACAGCAGATGTGCTTGTTTTGTCTGATAGGTTTTGTTTCCATCAACCGAACATTACATTGTCACATGCATGGCTTAATTTGAGCCAGATCCTGCCGGAATAAGATCCAGGAAGTCTCTCATTTTGACAGGGTGTGTTCCGGCAACTGTTTGCTTGGATCCGGCAACTTTAATTTCCACCCCTAAAAGTCCAAAGTCATTGCACATTTTTATTTTGCTTATTAAAAATACAATGAAAGGAGACGTTGCCCTTGGCCCAGCGGATCCAGTCTTTGGAGTGGATGTTCCAGCCACAGCACGCGTACCAGCTTGCGCACACTCTCCTGCCCAGCAGAGACACAGATGGTATGTCCTGCGGGGATGATGCATCTTATTCCAACACCTTCAGTGGCATGCCCTGTGGACGAGCACACAGCAACAGATTACATAACAGGACACCAAAAAGTAGAAACCGACAAAAACAGTAATGGATAACAACAACAACCGCAACATGACTAACACAGTGTGATGCACACAGACTCAGCACAGATCACACAGTGCTGAAAGCCAGGGAATAGAAGTGTGTTTTTAAGCGAGATTTAAAAACTGTGAGGGAGGGGGCCTGTCTAACGAGCAGAGGTAACATTCCAAAGTCTTGGGCCTGCTACAGAGAAGGCCCTGTCACCTCTGCGCTTGAGACGGGTTCCTGGGACTGTTAGGAGCAACTGGTCTGCTGATCTGAGAGAACGTGGTGGGACATACGGCTGGAGCAGATCAGTAAGATAGGAGGGGGCAGAGCTGTTTAGTGATTTATAGACATACAAGAGTATTTTGAATTTGATTCGAAGGTGAACCGGAAGCCAGTGTAGGGAGGCCAACACAGGTGTAATGTGCTCTCTTTTGCTTGTGCTGGTCAAAAACCGGGCTGCTGCATTTTGGACCAGTTGAAGTCTAGCTATGGAGGTCTGACTGATACCAAAAAGGAGTGAGTTGCAATAGTTGAGCTTGGATGTAATGAATGCATGAATTACTGTCTCCAGGTTATTTTTGGACAATATGGGCTTCAGCTTAGACAGACGCCTCAGCTGGAAAAAGCAAGATTCAACAATCATATTTACATGATTGTTGAGTTTCAGAGAAGGGTCAAGTATCACTCCTAGATTAGTGACTCTTTGTTTCACTAACGGTGACAGAACGGATAGGTCGATGCAGTGGTTGGTGATTGTATCATTGGGAGGAAACAACATAACTTCAGATTTCTTCTCGTTGAAACTCAAGAAATTTAAAGCCATCCAATCTCTGATGTCAGCCAGGCAGTCCAGTAACGGTTGAATAGAGTGAGTACCGTTGAGTCTGAGGGAGAAGTAGATTTGGCAGTCGTCGGCATAGAAATGAAAAGGTATGTTATGTTTCCTGAAAACAGCACCTAGTGGCAGCAGGTATAAAGAAAATAAAAGAGGACCAAGGATGGACCCTTGCGGTACCCCCCATTTAAGCGCTGCTGAGGCTGAACTAAAATCTTTGATGGAGACACAAAAGGACCTGTCAGCGAGGTAAGATCTAAACCATTCGAGGGCTGACCCAGTGATGCCCACCCACTGCTCTAACCTCGCAATGAGGATCTCGTGGTCAATTGTATCAAAGGCAGATGTGAGGTCCAGTAAGAGAAGGAGCACAGAATCACCAGCGTCTGTGAATAGGAGAATGTCATTAAAAACCTTGAGTAGAGCAGTTTCAGTGCTGTGGAGAGGTTTAAAGCCAGACTGGAATAGCTCTAAGATGGCATTATCCTCTAGAAAGTATTTCAGCTGGGACTCCACTATTTTTTCCAGTAGTTTAGCGACAAATGGGAGTCTGGAGACAGACCGGAAGTTGGACATGACTGAGGGGTCAAGGCTAGGTTTTTTCCGGAGAGGTTGGACAGCAGCATGTTTAAAAGTTATTGGCACCACACCTGAGGCTAAGCTGCTGTTCACAATGCCAAGAACAGGAGGGCCCAGAACAGGAAGAAGCTCCTTCAGGAGTCGAGGGGGGACAACGTCAAAAGGGGAGCCAGATGGCTTCATGCCGCACATGACCTGCTCCAAGGAAGACAGAGAGATGGGCTCTAAGTGGTCAAGAACAGCAACACAACGAGATGGGATGGACGGATCATGAGCAGGTGGAGAAATGAGTGCCCGAGTGTTTGCAACTTTTTCAGAAAAGAAATGGAGGAAGTTTTCACACAGCTCAGTTGAGGCTTCTAGAGGTGAAGGTTCATTGAGGTGTAGAACTGAGTTCAGGGTGGAAAAAAGTGCTCGGGGGTTGTGGGAGTTTGAGGCAATCGTTGCAGAAAAAAACATCGATTTGGCGGCTTTAACTGCCTTCTGATAATGACGCCAACTCTCCTTTAGGATTTGAAAAGAAACCTGCAGCCTGTCTTTCCTCCACCTGCGCTCAGCTCTCCTACACTGCTGTCTAGCGGCTTGAGTGACGTCATTAAGCCATGGTTCTGATAAAAGTTTTGTTTTCCTGGTTTTAACAGGAGCAACACAGTCCAGAATATTTAAGCAAACCGAGTTAAGCTGAGAGGTTAGCTCCTCGGTGGAGAGAGACACTGAGAGCTGATCGATCCTCTCAGAGCTAAAAGCTTCAGTAAAACGTGCAGCAGTGAAACTGTTAATGGCGCGTGAAGTACGTGCAGAATCACATGACTTAGCAGTAGGACAAGGCGGGATGATATCAAACAAGACAGGCATGTGGTCTGAGAGAACGTTGTCACCGATTACCAAATTACAAACAGAGACATCACGTGTTAAAATGAGATCCAGAGTGTGACCGTGTTGTTGGGTGGGACCATTTACATGTTGAGTTAAATTAAATTAGTCCAACAAATCAAGGAAGTCCTTCACTAACGGCATCTCCTGACAACAGACGTGAATATTAAAGTCACCAACGATAATAAAGTGATCATATCTTGGTGTGATGTAAGCCAGAAAATCAGGGAATTCACTTATGAAGTCCTTGGAACGAGGGGGGCGATAAACAATCGCACACAGAACGGGAGGAGAATGTCCAAGTTCAAAAGCACTCGGCTTAAAACTGGAGCAGGGCATGAGGGTGGACAACTGTTTACAGGAAAAGTTTGATTTAAATACAGTTAATATTCCACCACCCTGCCGACCTGATGGTCGCGGGGCATTAAAACACAGACAGTCAGGAGGTAAAAGTTCCACCAAGGCGCTTGAATCACCCAAAGGCAACCAGGATTCCGTGAGAAAAAGAATCTAGTCCCTTGTCTTTAAAAAAGTCATTTAGGATAAAAGTCTGGTTGGCAACAGACCTTGTGTTGATGAGGCACGTCCTGATCTGGTCCGACACAGAACCAGCCATGGTGGGGGTGGTGCGCGCCAACGGTTGCAGATTTTTAAAAACAGCGCCTCCAGGACGGTCCAAGCACCGGGCCGGTAGACAATACCCATATTTTCCCTGGTCCGGGCACGTAGGAAGCTGGCTGTGGAAACGTTGACCACACAGAGCTTTGAGTTTTACCAGCCGGCCAGCACGTTTTCCCCGGCGTCTGGAGCGATATCTCCGAGAAGGCAGGCTTGGGGCCCAGCGTAAACAAGCAGGCACGTCTGCCAGAAGGGGTGGAAGGGGGGGGGGGTCCCCGAGTCACGATCAAAATGGTCCAAATCAGCAACAGCGAGTTGATATCCCAGACAAAAAATGAAAAAAGCAGAAATAATCCAAACAGTATTGTCAGAGGTAGATTGCAGGCCATGTACACGGGCGCCATCTTACCGGAAGCTGGAAGAATGGTAGGTCCAGATATCGGTCCATGTCCAGATATAGGTCCAGGTGTACCTGGAAGACAAAAACACTTGTTAGGATAGAAAAAATAATTTCAATTGCAAACAGGTTGAGCAGAGTAAGTAAAGACAGTAATATTGTGAAAAGACGTGGTCAGTTTGTCCTCCAGCAGTCTAAGGATATAGCAGCATAACTAAGGGATAGCTCAGGAAACCCAAGCCAACCCTAACTATAGGATTTAGCAAAAAGGAAAGTCTTAAGCCTAGTTTTAAAACTGGACAATGTGTCAGCCTCACGGACAGAAACTGGAAGTTGGTGTGATAACTGAAAGCTCTGCCTTCTTCCTGACGTTGCACGTTCGTGGCAAGACGTATTGTGGGCGGCTGTGGCTGAGTGGTTAGAGCAGTCGTCCTCCAATGCAAGAGTTGGGGGTTCGAATCCACCAGGAGTCACAAGCCGAAGTGTCCCTGGGCAAGACACTGAACCCCTCATTGCTTCTGATGTGTGTCCCATCGGTGTATGAATGTGATAAAGCACTGATTAGTCTCTTTAGAATGATTTGTTCAATTAGCTTTGCAGAGAGTATCTCAATAAGATAGAAAGTTGCTATATAAGTACAGTCCATTTACCATTTACTTCCTGTTTTCTCTGTTGGTAGTTCGAGTAAATTGTTTGCTCCAGTCTTTTATTTTCTGGATTTATCTGTCTTTTGCACAGTTTTTCATTTTAGTTCACAAACACCCTCAGTACAGTTGTTTTTCTACTCTTGGATAGTGCATGAAACACCTTATATCCTTCAACACTTCACACTTTAATTGGTGTTTTGGGATCTGATAGCTCTTGCTAGCATTAGCTTAGCA